TCTGTCGTACGTTTTCACAACTACTCGCCTTTCTTTTTTTTTATGCAATAGGTCGGCAAACGAGCAGGCGGATTACCTGATGGTAAGCAATCAGCGCCGCCCATGGATACCCGTAACGGAGGAGTTACGAGTGCGTTGCCGACCTTTTAGGGATTAGGGATTTGGAGATTTAGGAACTGGGGAGGGATTGGGAAGGGGAAGGATTGGGCCTCCGGTAACCTCACTCACACGGCGAAACACAACACTGTGGTTGTTTCACGCCGGTTTCTGTGAGGCCGTGGTATCACTTCGGTCGAGTCGACCCATTCGTGCCGAAGCATGGCTCTCCCACACTTAAAACTCCTACAGATCGTAGCGCGATATTTTATAACCTATTGGCTTCTACATACCAAATTTCAATAAAATCGGTCCAGCCGTTTTTAAGTAAAAAAAAAACAAACATACATCCATACATTCTTACAATCTTGAACATTTAAAATATTATAGTGAAATAGTAGGATAGCTTTCTTTGATAAATGAACTAACAAACACATAAAGAATCATTAAATTCGAACCAGTTGTTCCGGAGGATAGCGCCTAGGAACAAACAAACTCTAAAACTTTATAATATTAGTATAGATCCATTAAAAGATTCACATACTACTTACTTTTTTTAATGTTTAAATTAGTTTTTACCGAGAATATATTCTATTTTACTGTTTTCCAAGTCCAATAACTGTAACGAATTCCACTATTGATCACCAATGACTAAACTATATTAATCCAGCAAAACTCGTTATTCTCAGCAATTTAAAAAGCTCCAGTTACTTATTAAACTAGATCGGAAATGGAATACAATTTCCTAGCACCGGATCGTCCTAGATACGAGACTCGGCCAGCCATCTTTTCCCATCGCTCGTTATTCCGAACCAACTTTTTTTATAACAACTCCCGCCATTTTTTTCTCGCCACTTCATTTTCTCTATTGCCAACTGAGATACAAACTTAAATTTGCCGTCGATCAACTGTCAAAGTCGACTCTCAGTCAACGCAATAAGCATAGTATTCGAATAGAATGTTCCTATATCAGTTGACAATTAATGTTTGTAGAAACGTCAGATCACAATTTGACATGACGTAGCGTTTCTTTTTTTTTTCTAAAATATAGTTGATTCACGGTGATTTGGTCACAATGGAATTAACTTACACTGAGGGTTTGTTCGAACATTTTTTTGCAATTTTCCGTCGCCCTAATGACTCGGTGGCTTGTAAGTGAAAATAGTTATTTTTTGTGAAAAACAAAATGGTGGAACGGTGACATTTAGTTTTTTTTTTCTATTTGATAAAAGACGGTGCCTAGTGGACGTTGTTTTGTCCGGTTTTCGCTTGCCCTCCATTTATAACACTGAGTGCTACATCTGCTTAGAGACTATTTTCCTTCTGTATTTTTTTTTTTTGTGTAGTTAGAAAATTGAGGTTAGGTATATTACAATTAATCATAAACATCTGTGGTACTCATAGGCAATAATAGTTCGGTGAAATATAATGATAAGAAATCATAACTTCTGTTCAAACCATCTTTTGTTCGATTTTTTTGTATGGGAAAAATAATCACTGAAAGGGATCACAGAAAATTAGATTTTTTATCAATTTACTAAGTCCAAAATCTTGCGTCGTTACTATATAATATTTTAAAGGGCTTGAACCTATTCATATGTGACAGCGTGATGTAGTAAAACTACCAGTCTAAACAAAAGAAAATCAGAATTTTCAATACTACACTATTATCACAATCATAAAGTCTAAATTCCCACAACAACTGCATACACCACGGACTAAAACAAAACAACATTACATCTACAGTCTCAGTTATAAGGTCTATATTCGCATGTCAGATATATGTTGTATAAAAAGAAAAAAATATCTAATCTGTACATTGGGATAGTTTTTGTCTCAGATTCGAACCTCGGCCGTTAAACCTGGTAATGTGATGTCATCTGAGCCAGTGATAGTGGTCAGGGGCTTATACTGAAATAGGAGGCTTAGATAGGCTTAATCGAGATGTAACATTACGCCTCTTTTTTTCCTTAAAGGGTAAACACGTCAAGCGAAATAATGTACCAAGGCCTTGGCCCTGGAGCAGGAAAAAGATGGTTTTTTAGTCAGTAAGAGTCTGACAATCACTCGTTCATGAAAGAACAAGATGGTTTGTACCAATGATATTATATTAACACAGATATGTTATACACTCACAAAACGCAATTGCACTCTACCAATTTTAAAATGACCAAAATACCTTTGTAGGATAGAGTCAATGGTTGAGGACTGCTTTAATTTTTAGCATAGAATCTAAATTATTGATTAAACTGGCTGTGAACCACAGAACTTTTACTACAAAGAAATTTTAGTAATTTTAAAATTGATAGAGTGTAATTGCATTTTTGACCCCTAACTGTACATATCGCTACAAGTTAAAATTGTAGAAAAAGGATAGTATGATAAATAAAACAAGAAAAATTCAAAGAGGCACTAATTGCACTTGCATACAATTGTATCCTTTTCGAGTCTTCACTTTTGCGCGCTTATAACATATCTGTTAATATATTGCCCAGCAGTGGCCACTTATAGGCTGATGATGTGATGTGTATTTAGAAGTAACATAAAAGACAGAAGATAAGCAAACAATGCGTTCTGAGAGCCGCTTCTCATGCATTAGGGTATGGGTGTGGGTTCGAAACTAGGCTCAAACTGGCAAGTACCAACATCGCATGCCAGGCTTCAAGCCCGCAACCTCATAACTTATCCTTTGGACGACAAGAACAGTCTACTACAAAAGTATTATCTAATAATGCAGTCAAAGGCCTTAGTACTAAACACAGGAAATCGAACCCTTACAAGTCAAGGAAATATTAATAAACCTACGTTTTTTTTAATATTTTTGGCAACAATATCTTTTTTTTCAAGATGTGTTAGTGCTACGTCAGTACTACGTATACGTAGTCCTTCGTAGGCATCGTAACCGACGTAGCGCGGCGGAGCTACGCGGTCTGTTGCTACGCGGCTACGAGGCGTAGCACTATTTATTTCAATTAATGTGATTTCATTTGTTTGTCGTTCGTTAATATAATTAATTAATTCGATACAGATTGATTTTTTTTATATAAATATACACCTTAAAACTGAGTCCGTATGTGTTAATGTTGCTTATATTTTTAATGTACATGACATGCACTAGGATTGTCTACTGTATCGTGGGTGCGTTTATTAACACTGCATATCCATACAAAGACAATTTGAGGACCGTGCATAGAATTGCTACGGGAGTCGAACCCGTGACACGTTCAGTAGAAGTAGATTGGCCAATTAAAGTGCCAGACGTGCAATTTAGATTTTTTATATCTTTCCTTATAAAATGTGTGTTTTTATATTATATCATGTTATTTTATTTGCTGTGAAGGTCTAGGCAGTTGTAGATAAGTTCTGTTTCTACTATTATAAGACATAGACAGAGACAACTTCTAATATTATTGTATTTTCCAACCTTGACCGATCTGAGGTTTGAACCCAGGACTTACAAATAGATCGCACATAAGGTGACTCGTATGAAAACGAATAAATGAAAAAAATAAATTATTTCATGTTAAAAAATATATCAAAGTGCAAGTTTAACTTTCATTGTGTGTTACTTTGGCCAAAGGAACAGGAATAAATCTAGGCAATAACTAATTACTTATGTAAAGTATTAGGGAACCAAAATTAACTTGCATTCACATAAAATAATGAAGCTACAAAAATCTCTGAACTAAATAAACTACCATAAATTTACTTACACAACTAAAAGTGCTATTACATATCCATATTTACTAAATAAAACATTATACCATCCTCACTACTACAGAATATTACATACCATATATGAATAGTTATAATAATAGACCGCTATTATATTATATTATGACCATATTTCGACCAGCTTTCCGTTGTAGGGAGTGGTTCTATATGCCCTTAATATATTTGGTAAAAAAAATAAGCGACGTGCCTGCCCCGTCGCTTAAGAGCGCTATGGCAACGCCCAAAAAATGTCCCACTGAATTTCAGTAAAAAGGAATCTAATATATTAATATTAAAATATACATATATTTTTTTTCTACAAAGACACTTCTAGTTAAAATAAATATTAAATCTATGACTATTTAAAATTTAAAAATAAAAAATCCTTGACACATCTACAACTCTAAACTACATCACTAATCCATAAACAAAATCGACTAAAAAACTATTATTCGACTAAAACACACATTTGGAAACTCTACCCTAAAATGGATAAAGTGAATCGATTGTTGTATTTACTTAACGTACGTCGCCCTCTTATATAAAGAGGTTTGTCCCAGCTTTAGCAGTATGGTGGGAAATATTGTCCAAAGTGGGAAGTGAGACATGTCGCCAACGCAGCGGGATGGCGTCATCGCTCCATGACAACACCTCACCCCACCACTAAAAGCTTTCTAACCTATTAAAAAGCTAGTAAAACAGAGTATAAAAAGTCTATATTAATTATTTCAGGCTGTATTGACCCGCTGGGGGCAAGGACCTCTCGTCTCCCCCGCCCCTAAGTTTGTTTGTGCGAAATGAAATAATAAACGGAGTGCTCTGTTACACTACACTACTGTGCGTGGAATATAATAATTAAACAAATATATACGTGTGCTATGGTGCCCCGTGTGTGCTTCTTCGAGGGTTTCTGTGGATTACTTAAGGAAAACATTACACAAATTAGATGAGGTACAGTTCACGTCCGCCAGCTACAGGCGATGCTGGCAACCATATTGAGACAATTTCCTTAGAGCCAGATCTCTCCCCCGACGTCTTCGCCCGGGTGGTAGACCCTTTCAAATCAATGAAATGAAAACAAAACGAATCATACATGTAGGACGGGAAAACAACCTAAACTAAACACATATAAGATACAGTTTTCCCTAAAATCGAATTGAACAAGATTCGCGTAGAAAATGGCCGGAGTTTCAGATGCAGCGAAAAACTGTGGCGCGCATGCGCAGAGCGCCGCTCGATATATGCACCCTCCGGTGATCATGTGTTGAACCACTCTCGTCTGCTGGCGTCCGAGCGACACCCAGCGGCGCGGCGACTAGCACTGACACAACACACACTAAACACACGCAGGAACAGCGGCAGCACTGAACCACAGCCCGGTCCGCGTACTCCCGGTATAACCTGCAAGAGACATGTTAGTACAGTTTACACAAGTATGCGGCGGCTCGACAGTCTTGCGGGTCTTCAATGATGGGGTGCAACGCCACGGCCCGCTTGTCCGGACGCAGCAGTAACTGTAGGCAACACGTACTGCTGTGACAGGACAATATGGTCGTGACGCGCGAGTCGGGCGGCGGCGCGCGGCCGAGTGAGGCAGCGTGGCCGCGCCGCGCCGCCGCGCCCCTCCGCCCGCCGCCCCGCGCACGCGCCAACACCCCCCGCGGCCGCTACAACACCCTCAATGAACGCCCACAATCAACTATCGATTTTCCAGTAAAAAAAATGGTTTAATTCATCAGCACCAGCACGCATCTTTGGGGTTGTCTATGTTTCCTTCTGGTGAACTTTTGAGCTGGAAGATGTTTAGTCGATTTTGATAGTGACATCACTAGTTACGGAGCTTTAAATTTGTAGGTTAGCAAAGAAACTATGGCGTCCTAGCTTCCCCGTTTCACTAATATTAAAATACTGACTGTTATCACAAACAGAATCAGTAAAATATTTCTAAATGCATTAAAATCTACTGAAACATGAACTGCATTAAATGCAGAAAAATAATCTCTGCACTCACAAACTTGTATGAAAGTTTAACAAAAGAATAGCTTCGGTATCGCTCGTTATTTCTTCTATTTTCTATCGAGCATTCGCAGCGGGCATTGTGAGCTGGCGGCCGAACGTTTTATATTAAAACTTTGATATCTAACCGCTTACACTTCGCTGGGATTTCTCAACTAAACGGAGATAACATCAAAAACATTTATTTCAAGATTTGCACAGAAAATAATTGCGTGACAGCATAATTTCGCCCATACTAGGAAACTTTAATAAAACCTACCATAGTTTTTTTAAGCTTAACTGTAAAAACACTATCTTGTATTTCACTTTAATTAGAACTACGTTGTCCTAGCTCCAGCTAGTGAAAACAAGATAAAAACGCCATTTTAGACAAAAAATAAGACGCCATAACTCACAATCTCACAAAACCATAGACATTTCTCGTTCGATATTAACTTTTGAAAACAAACCTTCAAGTCACCTTACTTTAATTCCCCGATATAATATCAATAATATGTTCCCTCGTATTGTTTGGCGTAAGCACGGCAATCCCCGAGTGTCGGAGGCTGGCGTCTATGGGAAGTAGGTTAGCAAAGGGATCGCGTCGTCCTGGCAACCATCTCGACTGTACGCGACGACTTTTCATCTGTGGATATTTACTTGCGTTGATTTAACTGTGTTTTGTAAAGCTATAGGTACCTACTTTAGAAGTTTTTGTTAACTTTTACGAATGGAAATTTTATAAGAGTAGCAATATTTAAGAAAGTTTGATAAACCAGACATATACCTACATCACAAATAGTATTTTTTTGAAATTGTTAAAACTGTCAACCCTAAAATTTGTCTCAGAGGACGGTTTATACGTATAAATAACATAAATAGTGGAGAAATTAAGTATCAGTATTGCACGCGTGACAAGTACCAATGTGACTTTTTCCGAGTTACATGTGCTTTCTATGATCATTTAGACACCACTGACAAACGGTGAAGGAAAACATTGTGAGGAAACCTGGACTTATGATGATTTTCTAATTATAAGTTTGAAATCGCCAACTCGTATTGAGCAAGCGTAATGGTTAATGCTCTAACCTTCTTCGTGTGAGAAGAGGCCTTTGCTCAGCAGTGGGCACTTATAGGCTGATGATGATGATTGCACGCGTACAAAGCCAGGGCGAGTCTAGTCGCTACTTTTCTATAAGTTTTGTGCGGTAAAGTATTATGATGTCATGTTAAATGAGACAAATAATTATTACTTAAAAACTCACTCGGAAAAACGAAAATTAAATTAATAAAATCAATGTAACATACTTTGGTGTTACCGTTGTCCATTTTCGGCACAAATCACTTACTGGTGTCAATATAATTCCGCGAGAAAAAATTGTTCTACTTATGAGAAATTTCGGAGTCGGAAGGTACTATGTCGGAGGCTCTTGCAGGACAGTCATGTTTGCAGGCACTGCGACCAAGGAGATCGTAAGCAAACTTCAGCAACCAGCCTATAAGCGCCCACTGCTAAGCAAAAGCGTCTTCTCACACGGAGAAGGTTTGAGCATGAATTACCACGTCGGTTTAAAGCGGATTGGCGTCTAGAGTCCAGCAAGTCCAGATTTCCTCACGATATTTCCCTTCACCGTATGTCTAAACACTTAAATGAATGTATGTAAAAATATTATTATGAGTTCATTGACATCGAAACACCCAGTGAAAATTGTGCTCTAAGTATCAATTACTGCAATAGCTTCATAATCTTATGAAGATGAATAAACACGTCGGTAATTTGGGGCCCAACCCACGCATGTCACGCGTTGGGCTATGTTCGTCAATACGCCATCGTTTTTTAGAAACATTCGCGCTAAAATAGCAAAATAATATCTTGGCTATATTTGGAGATTTGTTTATGTCGTAGGTAGGCTATCGAGCAGATGGATTACCTGGTGGTAAGCAATCTGAGTTGACCTTGTAGGTATAACCAAAGGAGTTACTGCAGGTGCGTAGCCGCCCTCTTTTGGGTGTTGTTGTTGACGTGTTACTTTCAAACTTTAAACGAAAAGTCATTCATAATTCGCATACCAATCGCTCTCTGAAAATGATGGAAAGAAAGAAAGAAAATAAAGATAAAAATCTTGTTCCTGTGAGATCCACACTTAGGTATCTGCTGCCAAAGCCAACTAGATACTAAGACCCTTTTCTTAAGTAAAATCACTCAACGTCTTCTTCCGCCGTGAGTAGGGTAAGTGGAAGCGTCAGACTCTTACTGGCACTCCGTTCTAATTTCTGCTCCCAGCTGAGCCGCCGTGACCGCCGTATATCATTGCAGAACTGAACCCGAAATCCCGAGTTCCTTAGAATGCTCCTTTACAGGCTATATTTTTTACAACATGACGTTTTTTTACTCATCAAATAATATCTTCTGATTTATTTCTTTGCGAGATCTAAGATAGTCATTCATGACCCTGCGACGCGCCGAGCTTCAGAGCTTCAGTGTTTTCATATTTATATACACTGTATATCCTAGTTAGCATGTTGCCCTCTTTCCCATAAAAATGCATCAAGATAATTTGAAACGGTTGCATTATTATGTAAGGTCACGGAGTAAACCGCTTGACCTCCTACGTATATGACTAAGAATAATATCATCACGCTTTTGACACACGAGGGTAAGTAGACAGTAAAGAAATTAGGGCAAACTCTGTTTTAATGAAGGCATGGTGAATAACTAAATGTCAAAATGTAATATTGAAACCGAAGCTGAGATGTGCACATAAACAAAGTGTCCTATAAGGATGTAACTAAATAATCTCATGTGATATAACGTTGCCCGACAATGGAATCCGCGACCCCTCGGTCAGTCGGTTAAATCTATACATATAATAAATCTGTAGAAAGTAATTTTTGTACATTGAAAAAATTGACAAAAAAAATATCCAGCGTGTTAAAGGATAACTAACCGAACCCATTTTCGTATTTTTTGTCATTTTTGTCTGTTTGTCTGTTTGTCTGTTTATATGTTTGTTTGTGCGCGCATCACGTAAAATCTACGAATTCAACGCAGACAATGCTTATATACAAAAATTCTACACAACTTGAGGTATAACTTAGTTTTTGTTTCATCGAAATCGGTTCACTCTATCAGAAGATATGATTAATTTAGTGAGTTCAAGAAGTAAAACAACACGCATTTCCGTATAGTACTTGCAACGACACCTTAAGACAAAAAACAGAACTAATGTTGATAATTGATATCTTTATTCGATAGATGGCGTTGTGCAAATACGTCATTTTCTGTATAAGATTAATTATGACATTTATATCGAGAATTTTGCATTTGAAACTCAAAGTTTTGATTAATCTACTTACAAAGAAGAAAGTTTTCGGTTCAACTCTGTGTTTTATGTATAGCGTCGAGTGGCAAAAGTGTGGTTTACCCCATGCGCACATTCTTTTGTGGCTGGAATAAAAAATTCGTCCCGACGCTATAGACAGTGTCATAAGTGCAGAATTTCCAGACCATAGCGCAGATCCGATTTAACATGACATAACCCGAGACAAACCACCTTGCTCGCATTTTTCCGCCTTTGCGAAAGAGACAATTTCGCCAAGTCTCTGTTGTACAATGAAGTGCCACATTATTATACTTACAACAAGCAGCAAGGTGTTTTTAAACGCAGGTGACGTGGAACTGCTGTAGAAGGTGAGCCCGGCATTTTTAAAGAATACGTGATTGGAAGAGGATACACGGTGCACCCAAATAATGCAGAGTGTTATTATTTACGCCTTCTTCTACACATAGTGCGAGGGCCTACTTCTTTTACTGATCTCCGCAAAGTGGACGATATAGAATATCCCTCATTTCAGGCTGCTTGCCGCGCACGGCCTTTATTAGATGGCGATCAGCATTGAGATGATGCTTCAGCCGAAGCATGCGTCAGCGATAGTCCACATCGTCTTCGTCATTTGTTTGTTTTATTGACATTTTGTGGCCTATCGGACGCTGGGCAGTTGTGGCAAAAATATAAAGACGCGTTAGCCGAAGATTTTTTCAGACAGGAAAATAGTAATACAGAAACTCCTGAACAAGTACGGGAAAACTGCCATATTAAGTCTTTGCTAGCTATACAAGATATAGTTATAAGTATAGGAGGGAACCTTCTTAGTCAATACGGCTTGACAACGCCGACAGCTGGTGGGGAACCAGTAAATAGGGAGTGTGCATCGGAAATAAATTACAACTCTCAGGAGTTAGCAGAAATAGGGCTAAATGGCTGTTTAAACATGACGTCAGAACAGCGTCAAATATTTGATAGAGTATGCTGTAGTGTAGAAAGGAGAAGGAGAAATATTTTTAGGAGAAATATTGTTTTTAGATGCACCTGGTGGAACAGGTAAAACTTTACTCGCCAAAGTTATCTTGGCTCAAATAAGGAGCCAAAACAAAATTGCCCTTGCGGTGGCCTCCTCAGGAATTGCAGCCACTTTATTACCAGGAGAAAAAACTGCAAATAAAACATTTAAAATACCAATCGACTTGGAACACACAGGAAACCCTGTTTGCAACATCTCTCGCAATAGTGATAAAGTTATGGAAGCTGTAGATAGAACGTTGCGAGATATAAGACAAAATGACCGACCGATGGGCTTAATGGTGCTATTCTGTGGAGACTTTAGGCAGACACTCCCTATAATACCCAGAGGAACGAGGACCGATGAAATAGGCGCATGTTTAACGAGCTCTTTTTTTTGGCTTATTATCATATCATCCAATTTGAGCTTTAATATGTGAGCATAATTGGGAGGTGACGCAAACGCGCAGGTCTTCTCAAATTTCGTTCACGTTCGTCGTAACCTGTGTTCTTCTGTTGCCTCAAAGCATGAGCTCATTTCTTCTGTATCCGGAGATCCATCAGAGATCTCGAACCATGACGCTGCTTGGCTATGCCAACGACCTATTTTGGCACCTCGCAATGACCAAGCAGCAGCAATCAATTCTCAAATATTGGTACATGTTTCTGGAGAAAGTAGGGAATATTCATCTATTAACACGGTTTTGGAAGAAGGAGATGCCACCCACTATCCAGTTGAGTTTTTAGACTCTCTAATGACACCAGGTGTTCCAGCACACAAAATTTATTTAAAAGTTGGTACTCCACCATCATCTACTCAGAAATTTAAGTCCTCCAAAATTTTGTAATGGTACACGGCTGAGAGGAACAAGTCTCCAGCGCAATAAATGTGCAATTCCCTGTAAGGGTCTGTTACCCCATGACCATACTTTTGATTGTTTTTCACACGGCGGACTCTATGTTTCTCTATCACGTGTTGGCAACCCAAACAACCTTTTTGTATATGCTCCGGGTAATTCCACCGCTATCAGCTATACCAATATATATTACTAAATAAATATATATGTATACTACAGTCAGGATCTTAAATAGCAAAAAAAAATCTTTCTTGATCGGAGTTTATATGTGTATAGCCTACTGTTATCTAAACGATGTTGTTTTGTTTTCGACAACCACGCGAACGAAGTCGCGGGCACAGCTAGTAATAAAATAACTGCACTGTCGCGAGTTGGATTCCCGCACGGAACAACTCTCTCAATCCACAATTTGTTGTTTCGGGTCTGAGTGTGATGTGTATGTAAAATTGTATGTTTGTAAACGCACCCACGAAAATTCTAGTGTAAGCATCGTTTTATTTTAAAGAATTAAGCCATAAAAGCTAAAATATTAACATAAAAACATTGACCCCTAAAACAAATACATCATTTACACTAAAATAGCAACCCTTTTAAGTCATAGACAATACTAGTTATTAATCACCTCTCCCTATATTCTCGTTGCGCTCAAAGAACGCGTCTAGTTTCGTCACTCATCCCCACAACTCGATGTAGGTGGGGTCAACGACCCGGGAGACAGGACAGCGGGCAGATATTTCGCAAATAAGAAGGGGTTCACTCTAGCTACAGTTTCAACTTGTATTTTGGAATAAGTAATATGATAAATGTATTTAGTTTCTTTGTTTGTCTCTCTTTTATGTCGTTACAGAGATTTAGCGATAGAGACAAACTGTATTATACCTAATCACTCGGAACAAAAATATTGTTTAGAAGGCACGGCATTTCGAAATAGATCCGTTATAAAAATATTGCCAATTAAATTCCCGTACGTAGATGAGTGAATATCCCACACGGGCGAAGCAGCGTGTTGAAGCTAGTACCTATCGTGATTTTTACATAAAATTTTCATTTATATACATAAGTGAAATAGAATAATACTTAGAATGTACCTACCCACAAACTTTTCCAAGCAAGAAAAGTGATAAAAAAGTTTTTATCATATTTTTTATGTTTGTAAAGTTTTCCGTTGCCAGTCGCGGTCGTATTGGAATTGGATAAAGTCATAATATATTTATACTTCCCGCTGTCTATTCATCCTAGATAGAAAAAACTCAAGCCTTTACCTCAGTTGTTCTGTATTCTGAGGCCTTTACCTATATTACTGTGATAAACAACAGTCTTACAATAAATATAGTAATCGTTAAAATAAAGTAAAACATACTACGTATACAATATTAAAAAAAAATATCTTGCATACCCTGAAAAAATACTGCAAGCCTCCAGCAAAACAGAATGTAGGGTAAAAATACATTTTGTTCAGCGGTGTAATAGCATAAGCTACAAAAAATATCTTGTTATTAATTATTAGGTACTTATTAAACTAGATTAGATTTTGTGACAAATAAAATTGTCAGCACAGAAAACTAGTCAGCAGTCTGTTGAGTCTGTTTCTATCTCCGCAACGTTGACTGTTAAACAACGATAGAATGCAACCGTTTACGTTGATTACATTTTATTTCATTTTTAATCCATCTGGAATTTTATCCACATATTATTCAGAATACAGAGTCAAATAATAAAATAATTACACAGTACTAGCTTTCAATCCAGTGTATCGTCTATATAGGTAGATACCAAATACCAATCAAATCGGTCCAACCGGTTTTGCGTGTAAGAATAACAAACTTCCATCAATATATTCACACAATTCACATTTATAATATGTATTAGTAGGATTAGTCTAATTTGTAGCTCATAAAATCAAATATTGTTTAATGTTATAAATGTAATAAATCATTGTCTTGACAGCCACCTCAAGCCCCACTCGCAATCACAGAATCTTGAGAAACGTTTTAAATGCATGAATGATTCGTTCGGTCCCACCATTGACAGTTCGTTACAAACTGCTGCCCGCCTCGCCTCTGACCCGAAAGCAAATTAAAGAAACTATTTGTCAGCGTCATCGACGTTTTTCTCACTTTACGATGTCTTAATTTATCGAAATTGAATGTATTGCAGTAAAATTGCGTCATTCGGATCAAAAAACTAGGTATTTAGGAGTCAAATATTATTATTCAAGTTAATTGTCTTTTCATAATATTGTTTTTATAGACTGTGAGGTTAGGTACTTAGAACCTTTTTTGAATAATTACCTACATATACATTATAGGAGATTAAAACTACAGTAAGTAATTAGCAATTTAACAATGAAAGCATTTCCAGCGAAGTAGAACGCTCACACGTTATAAATCAGACATGAAATATGTATTCCAAACGACTAGATTTTACGTGACATTTTTATTACCACACAGAAAGGTTCTCGAATTCTATTATTTAGTGAATAGTGTGAGGATGTAAAGAACGGACCCCAGCATCATGATCATACAAGATAAATTGCAAGATTCCTCCCTGATTTATAGCAGGACAAGGGATTTCTTAAAAGATTCCTGGGAAAAGGCGCGCATCTATCAAAGTTGGCGAACAAGATTATACCACTTAGCATTTCTTAATTTGTATAAAAGTGGGGATATAGAAGTTTTCCGGGCAGATGTGATTAATTTATGCTGAGTATGAGAAATGTAAGCTTAAGGTTCGGATTAGTTCGTATAAAGACTAAGACTCAATTCCAAATTCAAAATTAATGTGAAAAAATTATTACTCTTTGTAAGATATTCATACTTTTTATCAAGAAAAAACTATTACACTAAACGTTTGATTACCCACTGGACACAAACTGTGTCCGCTGCCTGTTGCCAACTGCCCCCGAGCATCGAGGACTTGCCCTCCACTCCTCACCACACCCTCAAACTGTGAGTGGGACACCAGTACGCCCTATGGCTATAACCAATAGGAATAGGTATATTAGTTTCAAAGCGAGAAAGAGACACATTTATTACGACGAAACACTCAGTTGAAAAGAGATAGCGCTAGCCTCGTGGAGATGAAATGCGCAACTCGTAGAGGGTAATTTTTGTGGAGCAGCTGTACGGCTAAGTTCATTTTCAATAAAATAAAAGCTTTTCCGGCGGCGGCTTGGCGTGCGCTTTTCTATTAGGCTACAATTTTAACGTCTAGAATTTTTGTTTTGGATATTATATTCCTTGGAAAGCGATTTGATGTTACGAATATTATACTTTTATTTGTTTTTTCTAATCGAACAAAGAATTGGATTACAATATTTCCTGTGTTTAGGTACTTGTTTCAATATGATGAAACTTTACAGAAAGAAGTTTTTTCACTTATCTACAAGTTACGGTGTAAAATATTTTTTACACACAAATCGTATTGGTTATCTTATTTTAAATCTACACTAATTTATAAAGAGGTAAAATTTGTAAAGAGGTAATATTTGGAACCATTGGTCGGATTTCCAAAATTCTTTTACTGATATGTAGTTGGAATGTACTATTATACGCGTGTGAAGCCACGGGCGGAAGCTAGTTTAAAAATAATATTCGAAACTAATGTTTCTATAAAACCCCAAAAACTCTCACTAGGATTATTTGTAGGTATCATTGTTATATGAATATAACAATTAATTTAATGTAATAGTAGTAGTGTAGAATGTATAAATGAATGTAAATACTCGTTTGTGATTGTGAATATATACACACATTCATTCTATCATATACTCAAATGTGCGAGATACAAGTTGTATAAATTTTGCCTACAAAATGGATAAATCTCAAACGAGGCGTTGGATATCAAATTTGCCTTCTGTTTCATCTCTTATTCAAATATTTGCGTTTGGCTCCCTCGCTTGGAAATTCTAAATCGAATAGAAAAGACGCGACGTTTTATCATTGAGATAATTAAATATTAACATATGAGGCAACATTTTTATCAGACGTAATGTTTACTTTCTTTAGTTGAATTTTGACATTATTTTGTTTTACTGTCATTGTCACAACTAATGACAGCAACTACCATCAATTTAAAAAAAAGCGTTGGAGTAAACAATAGATTTTCGAACAACAACCTCTTTTGATTAAAATCTAATAATTACAACCGTTATAAAATGTTCGCAATTTGTGAAATGTAAATGAATATTATAATAATTCTATCGTACGCAATAATACAATGAATTCCAATTTATTTCTCGTTAATTAGCTTCGAATCTTAATTGAATATAACATTGGCGGGAAATTCGGATGAATGTAAACAGATCGTGTTTTGTTTTTTTTGTCAGTCAACCACAAAAGTGAAAGCGTCGTTGGACCGAATCCGAGTCGTGATTCGGCCATCGATATTTACGTAAAATTAACGTAAATAATTTAGTTGTTAGTCGTGTACTGTTAAGTGCGGTAGTGACAATGATGGGGTTATATTCTAGTGGGGCGCTGGGCGGTGTGGAGGTGCTGGATGGAGGGCTGGTGGGCGGCGAGCTGACGGCGCACGTGCTGAGCGCTCAGGCGGCCGCGCACGCCGCCGCCACGGCCGCCGCGGCCGCGCATCAGCAACACCAGCAACAACAGATTGCTGTGCAGCAAATCAGTGAGTACCTAATTGAATTATATTCTTCCTTCTCTCATTTCTGTAACGCAAACACGGAATATAACAAAAATTTCCTTGGACCCAAAAATCCAAAGGCAAAAAAAACAAATGAAAGTTTGTAAAACCAGATTTTAAATGCTTTATGCAATATTTTTGTATTCAATCTCCTTTCCACGCACAAATATGCTGTAGAAACATTAGTTTTGTTATTCTAAACAAGTTTGCAACTCTTTCAGTATTTGTTTGCAGTTGTTTGTAGCTTAACAATAGTTTCCACCTCTTCAAATTGTATTTCATAGTGATAATGGAACTTGAAACTAGTATTTTTGATATTATAGTAGATTCATTCTGATATTATGGAGTGTCCACATTTATCTTTTATTTCATTATTAATCTTGTAACAATGGGCATCCTTGGTCTCTGTTAGGATTTAAAAAGTTACCACAAAGTATTTGAATAATAATTAAATATAAAGCTTGAGATTTTAAAAGTAATTGTAAAATGTACTAACATTACTGTTATTTTATAATTTTGATGTATTCAAAAACAATAATTTAGCAGTTTTTTAGTTCAAACAAAACAGGTTTCCTAAACCATTGTATAATGTTTTATGTGTTTTCATTTTAATATCATTTTACCCTTGCCTTAAAAGAAACAACGCAATAAAAATAATTCTATTCATCATGTCAGCTAAAATATATGTACACAATAGGTCACAGTAATACACTTAACAGCCTAACTGCTTACAAGATACCAAACTACATAATCCTTTGCTAAGACCATCACAACATTGATCCTAGACCCCTTTTTCCCGACAGAAACATCCCCGTCATCTGGGCGATCCACCCCAGTGACGTCACAAGCTAATGGCACAGCCCCCGCACCAACGGGGAGCACCTCACCGTCACCAAGCAAGCTGTTTGTTGGCGGTCTCAGCTGGCAGACTAGCTCGGAGAAACTAAGAGAATATTTTGCCATGTTCGGACCGGTCACTGATGTGCTCATCATGAAAGATCCGGTGACACAGGTGGGTTTGTAGGTGGCTTGGCTTCTTTATGTGATGTTAAGGTTTTGTATTGGTGTTATGTGGATCTCCAATAAACTTTAGTTGACAAGCTTGGGTGATTACTGTTACAGGTTTTCTTTTTTATTGTGTCTCAAAAAAAAACAATCTTTTGCTTGACTTTTTGTACCAGCTGTGGCTATTTCAGATACTATGTTTTACTATGTATCAATGTGAAAAACATTTTTAATCTATTTAGTGTTTCATTTTTGATAAAGTGGAAGACTTAGTTAAGAAAGACAGTTGTCTGGTTTAATAAAGTCTGTGAATATCAAATTCATTCTTAATTAAATCTATAATGAGATTATGTTAATGTAATTCTGATTTGAATTTATATATGGAACTATAGCTTTAATATCTATTTTAATTAGCAAAATTTTAGTTTAGGTTATTAATTAATTACAAGTTTAGGTATCAAAATTAAACTTGGAAAATTGTAATTACTTTTCAAATCGTTAAAAAATACATACTTAAGCCTTCCATATAATACCAATACAAAACTTTTGCATAGATTTTAATTCTATTATACTTACTATTATTTATTTATACATATGTACCTATAGATTTATTTGAATTTACTATTAAAATCAATGGTACTAGCAACATGCCTGTTTACACTACGGTATAATGAACTATTTCTGTGTATATTAATTATTTTATTGTAAATCTAAATATACTATTTTACTTTGAGCTGTATTCTCCCAATGAGGTAGTCAAAGAAACCAGTTTTTCTGCCTGTTACACTTCTACCTTGTTAGTCAGGGTTGCCTGGAGCAGAGAAATGAGAGTGTCAGACTCTTACTGACTAAAAACCCCCATTCCTTCTCCTGCTCTGGGCCGAGGTCGCGGTGCCTCATTGCGCTTACCCCGCAACCCCGGCTTCTCACTAACCTCAAAGTGGTTTAAAACCAAGTATTTATTACTACAAAAGTATTTTGAATGTGAGATAGTCATACTTCGGCACGAATAGTATAATAATCTGCACTTCATTCGACGAAATACAACGCTGTGGTTGTTTCACGTCGGTTTCCTGTGAAGCCGTGGTATCACTCCGGTCTTGCCGACTCATTAATGCCGAAGCATGGCTCTCCCACACTTACATCAAAAATGATATTAAAAAATATATAATACAATATCAATTTAACGCAAAATCGATGCTGAGCGCAGTGATGGCGGATCGAAAGCGTGACGAAGGCAATTTTTTACGAAGCATAAGATTTTCGTCACTCGGTATTGCTGCCGACGTTTGTAGGTAGGTTGGTTGGCACTCAATTGTGCCACTGACTTTCTATAAGTCAGCCATAAGCCATTATTAAGGCACCCGCTTCTCGTGTATGAGTTTGAAGCCTGACTGGTGCTTTCTATGATAATTTAAACACCACTGATGTACAGTGAAGGTGATCATCCTGAAAAAAATATCAAATGATTTCTCTCATCCAAAGAGGAAGTGGTCAGACTCTTACGGACTAAAACCTCCGCCGTTCCTTCTCCTGCTCCAGGCCGAGGCCTCGGTAGAGGTATTATTGAGCTTATTTTTGTCAGCGGAAAATTATCAAATGGCTTCTCCCGCCCAGGGAAGGCGAGAGAGAGTGTCAGACTCCTGACTAACTGTCTAACGTATTTGTGTGAAATTTGCTAGACATAGTTTGGAACTCGAAGGACATAGGATAGTTTTTAAACCAAAACTCTAGTCACTATTCCACGCGAACAAAGTCGCGGGCAAAAGCTAGTTATACTATACATTAATATACACTTGTACAGCCACCGCATTCGTAAATGCCTAAAGCATGAATGTGTGAATTATTTCCGACCAAAAACCACAAAACATGACCGCTAAAATGGACCGCGAAATATTTATATTTCGCCAAAAATGTTCATTGACTCGGCAAGTGATTGATCGCTCACTGGATCGAGCAAAAACTTACCGCTTGCCAATCTGTCTTGTTTTGTATTGCATAATGATGTCGTCACAACTTTTAAATATTCGTAGATTTTATGAAAGAAATGTAAAAAATGCTATTTATAAAGCGATTACATGATCTGGTTTACCTCTTTGAAATAAAGGTCGCTGCTGTCATGCCAGTTTTTTTGTGAATAGAAAATCTTCGAATACCTTCTCCCGCCCAGAGTCGGGCGATGGAGTGTCAGATTCTTACTGACTTAAAAGCCCCCGGTCTCCTGCTCTGGCCCGAGGAGGCATAGCCCGTGAGGAAAATATCCTCCTCATGCCCCAGCCGCCGCTGGAGACATTCCGTTCGTCGAGGATCGTGCGTTGATCTCCGGCCATCATAAGCGCGGTTCTGTGTGTGTGTTTTTTTTTGTGAGGGGAAAATCATCAAATGACTTCTCCCGCCCAGGGCCGGGCAGGAGGGAGTGTCAGACTCTTACTGACTAAAAACCCCCCTGTTCCTTCTCCTGCTCTATGCCGAGGTCGCGGTGACTCATTGCGCTTACCCCGCAACCCCGGCTGAACATCAGCCCTTTAGGGCCCCGTCTATGGTGGTCTAATGGCTCTTTGAGGCGCGCGCGGAACGCTACGCGCCGTACGCTCGGGTCTGGTTCTGGTCGGGCGGCGAGCTGCCCTTACTCGCCGACCGCAGGCCCGAAGCGCGGTTCTGTGGTTGGCGAGTAAGAGTAGCTCGTCTCCCAAGGCCAGTAGCGTGCCGCAGGCAACTGAAAGAGTCATTAGACTACCCCAAATGAGGCCCAATAGAGCTGATTTTTTGTCAGGGTGGCGGGTGCATTCATTATGTACCCCGGCCCCAGCCTCGAGCGGAACGGGGTGATTTTAGTCAGTAAGAGTCTGACACTCATTCTCGTCCGTGAAATAAACCGTGCTGAGTCTGTCCTTCAGGTAGATAGACAGGTTCTTTTCTCAGGGAGTTTCTCGGGATGGAATGTAGATTTTATTTTACTATAGCTACGGTATCCGTTTACCATAAAGCTAACCTTGTAAGGCTTTGATGCAATCAAAATTAATTAATACTAGCTACTTTCGCGCGGTTTCACCCGCTGCTCGGCTCCATTTAATAGTAGCGTGATGTTTTATAGCCTATAGCACTCAGGAATATTGTAGCTATCTATCGGTGAAAGAATTTTGGCAATCCGACCAGCGGTTCCAAAGATTACCCCCTACATATAAACTTACAAACTTAAAAATTTTACCTCTTTTTAATATTAGTAAAATAAAATAAGTTTAATCCTTTGGAAGTTAAAGGCATATCAATCTGACTGTCGGTGTTTCTTTGATTCTATATAGGTAATATATAAAGATATTTGTTTGTATAGGTATAATTATTTATTATGTATGTAAATATACTTACTAATTAGCTCAAAGGCATGTTGCTAAGATCAATTGACCAATGATGTTTACCTTAGTCGATAACTTGTACATAATCACGGTTTACCTTAGTAGGTGTAAGTCATTTGTTTCGTTAACAAACCAGCTATGGATCGGCCTATCCGTTCACGTATAATGCCATATGGCTAAATAAAATCCGGATTAATTTATGTACCTACTAGCTTCCGCCTGGTTTCCCCGCGTTTTATATCCAGGGTATCTACATAACAAATTTTAACCAAATGAGTCAAGCCGTTTTTGAGTAAAAGAATAACAAACATACATCCATAGATTCTTACAAACTTGAACATTTATAATATTAGGTAAGATAGCTATACGCATAGATTAAGAACTTGAAAATCATGACTAAATCTATGTATGAGTGTTATGCATTGGCACGAACGGGCTGGCTCAATCGGTCGGTTCGCCGTGTAAGCACTGCTGGGACGGGTTTACTGTAGTGATACCACATCCTTGCAGAATCACGGCGTGAATTACATCTAATCGAAAAAAAAACACCATACCAGAGAGACTCTGAAATAATGTTCAAAATAGGTACCTACATAGTCTTACTTATTATTAAACTTATCATTACCTGAAACCACTATCGCGTTACCCAAATAAAACATCACAGAGTTATCGACTAAAGTAATAAAATAAAATGTAATGTATAATACTATAATTTTAATGTAGTTTTTAAGAATATAATAACGACATTTTTTCAAGACAGCGGTAGGCAGAAGATGGAGCAATATCGGTCAGTCTTAGTAACTTTGTATAGGTTGATTTGGTCTAGGTAGATTATATATAGTAGGATCGTGTCGAGACGCCATGGCCATATGCAAAAAAATTACCTTTTTTGTGTTTTTTTTTTACTTTGGCAACATTTTTCTCCCCTGTTCCCTTGAGAATGCTTGATTAATTGTTTTAGTTTAGCACCCTTATCCTTTTTATTGAAAATCAATCCTACTAATACTCTTATAAGAAAGTAGGTTTATTTCTTACCTCTGAAGTATCAGATTAACAGTAATGATATGAACATTTCCTTCTGAAAGTCTGTGTTGAATGTGTGAGAGCGATGCTTCGGCACGAATGGGTTGGTTCGACCGGAGTGATACCATGGCCTCACAGAAGCAAGTGAAGCGACACTTACGTTGTGTTACGCCTTGCGAGTAAGGCTATCAGAGGCATGTCGCTTGCTTAAATGTATGAAACCAGGTCTTTCTGGCGAGACATGAGACACACCACGACACTAAATGTTTTCCACCTGTAATCCCATATCCCAATACTATTTTTCCTTGTAGTTTTTTTTTTTACTAAAACAGATATGTCCTCATATATATTTTTTGTAGTATACTCAATAACATGTAATAACTTGAGCTAGTAGTACTTACCCTTTTGTAAACGTAGGTATACTTTTAATCAAATAAATATCATGCAATATTTGTATATTCTATAGCTAATCTTATTTCCTATAGAATATTTGAATTTTCTAAGATTTTTCTCTTTATTTACATTGAATTATACCTATTCAACTGTTGATTAAACAACATTAAATATCAATAAAGGATCTTAACTAGGGAATAGCCTTAGCATATGATATTGATAAATGATAGATATGCTGTATCCAGTAAAACCACATAATGTGTCCCTTAGATTTGACCCAGACTCCCGTTTTTTGCATATGGACCAGTATCTCGGCACATAGTTGGGCTATGGTTGATCCAAAGTAACCTAGGAACACTAATAAAAGTATATCCATTTATAACATAGACAACCGGCATGCTAGACTCACTAACATAGAGTTAGGTCTAGATCTATGGATTTGATAAAATACTCCTTCTATTGTCTTCTATTATTTGATCTGGTAGTTCCCCCTCAGTCGGTGTTGCCATGCTTTTACGTTTTTTTCTACTAAATTGGTAGTTTTCCTTGGTAGTATTTTAATTCGATTTGGTTTTTAAATTGGTCACAGTTGATATACATAATTGTTTTGTATTTTTAAATTTGTTGTATTATTGTGTAGGAAAATTTGTAGTTGCTGTAATTTGGCCTAAAAGTATTGAATTATAAATTGTTTAAAATCCTTTTAGATTATGAAAATTTCCAGGCGAACTTATTCTTAAATAATGATGGATAGTAATTGATAAAATATACCGTTTAAGCAGTACAACTATTGAAATTCTTTGCATTTAGCTATTATCATTTAGCCAGCTATGACTTGAATACTTACTGTAGTTTGATAACAAAAATGTGGCCATACCCAAAAGTAAAGTTTCATACATAGCAACACTGACTTCACCCCCTTATTTATCTGCAAAACCTTTACAAACTTGGATTTTCTACTAATTAATTAATTAATAGTTTTAGCTAAGATCACAGAATAGATAAAATAATCTTTTTTGGTAGAAAACAAAGTAAATAGTTTTTGTCACTGAGGTAACACTGATGCTCAGATGAAATTGGTAGAAATTTGTTTCACGTTGAGGGTAACATTGCTCGGTTAGACAGATTCGTGCTAATATTAAGATAAAATAGTTGTCTGATTGTAATATTTATTATTAGTATGTATTCCTGTGGCCGTTTTGATTTCGTGGTAGTTTTTTTCTTTTGTCGAAATATTTGCTAAATCAAAACAAAGTTCATGTGACTTACTGAAGTGACTTAAGGGTGTGCTCGACATATTTCGAGCTTAACCGGAGCTCTTAATCTTGTCAGGTAGTCTCAAAACAAAGGAATTGAACTCTATAATCAGATTAAATGAAAATTTAGCTAAGATTTTGAAATTTTATCGAAAAAACAAGTCAAAATAGCCACAAGTTCATCACTAATTCCAATTAGTATACCAGTGACGGACGCATGATGTACTTAGGCCGACCTCAGTAGGCGTACCTAGTGTACCAGTAAAGGTATCTTATATACTATCTTCATTTATTTAACAATGTTTGTGATTTGCGATTTGTACTCTTATATGCGGGGTCATAGTGTTTATATTGACGTGTCGGCACGGTGTGGAGATGAGGCCTTTCTATAAATATGTTATAAAGAATTTTATAGTTTTTATTATAACTTTCGTGAAACATTCTAAATTAATTATTATGTTTTCGGCTTACTCGCGTAATAATTTGACGAGATACTCGACTAGTTTCAAGCCTTGCTAAAGGCCCATATCCATGAGCAGTATTCCGCGACACGCGACTCTGCGACTGTCGCGCTGCTACAAGTACGAGTATCTCGTCAAATTATTACGTGAATAAGCCGAAAACAAAATAATTAATTTTATAGTTGTCAATATTATATAGAAACAGCTCCTTAACACAAAAAATCTAAACGAGGGCTTTCTCATTTTCATTTTTATCTAACTATTCTGAAACAAGAGTATCTAGTCTGTTTCTTTTAAAGTTCAGATAAATATAAAATGAATTAGAAGAATCGCATGAATTCCTTCAGCGACACGATATGCAGAGACTATGCCTATAATTATGACGCTATTTTATATTTTTATAAGATTTCTTTAAACTGTTTTGACGGTTGCTGTTACCCGGTTATCCATTCTACTTTTCTAAAATGTTCTCTTGCCTAGGAACCTTCTCCAGACAATAAAATGCACAAGAAAAAAATAATAGACAAAATTTGTCTTTGAAACTACGCGCTTACCGAAAAATGTTGTGGTTCATTTAGTTTTAAAACATTAATTTAATTATTTTTATATTTTATTTGAAATTTGGCTTCATCTCCGCACCGACTGACGCAATCTCACGAGAGCCTGTTAGTCAAGAGCGTATATACTTCGTGTGTAGTGTACTATAAATATACTGAGTTTACCGACTACAGCATAGCATAGCAACGTACCTCACTACTTGCCTACTCTACTACCGTACTCTTAGACATTTAGAACTATTGGCAACACATCAATCCTATTGTTTTCAACTGTAGCAACACTTGTATACGCTCTTGATGAAGTAAAGTTTCTATTAACAGTTGATGTTAAGTTTGTTTGAGACTTGTAGTCCTCGTGTCACGTACGATATAGGTGTAAGTCACTAAACCCCCGCTCACCTGTCTACTACAGTGCAGGGATACATCTTTGCGACGCAGGTTTTTGCTTGTGTGGAGTTTGTAGACGAAGGCGTATCCCCGCACTGCGCCACGAGTGGTGTGAGCATCGCAGTAACAGTGGCCGCGCGCAGAGATCGCGCGGCTTCGGCTTCATCACGTTCCAGGAGGCGTCCTCCGTGGACAAAGTGCTCGCCGTGCCGGTGCACACGCTCGACGGCAAGCGCATCGACCCCAAGCACGCCACGCCCAAGTCCGCGCCCCGCCCCGCCAAGACCAAGAAGATATTCGTCGGCGGCGTCGGACAGGACACCTCCGCCGAGGAGGTCAGGTCTTACTTCTCACAGTTCGGCCTCGTCGAGGACGCCGTCATGCTCATGGACCAGCAGACCAAGCGCCACCGCGGCTTCGGCTTCGTCACCTTCCACTCGGAGGAGGCGGTCGAGCGCGTGTGCGACATACACTTCCACACCATCAAGAACAAGAAGGTGGAGTGCAAGCGCGCGCAGCCCAAGGAGGCCGTGGCGGCCGCGCCCCTCGCGCTCGGCAAGCGGCTCGTGCTGCGGCCCGGCCGCGGCCTGGTGTACGCCGCCAGCGGCGTGGGCGCCGTGCCCGCCGTGGGCGCCGCGCACGCCTACCGCTACGCGCCGTACGCGCTGCCCACGGCCGCGACGGCCGCCACGGCGCTGGTGGCGCCCCCGCAGCCCGCGCCCGCGCCCGCGCTGCCGCAGTTTGGCGCCGCGTACTCGCTGGCCGGCGTGGATATGTCGTCGTTCCAGGGCGTGGACTGGGGCGCCATGTACGGCCTGCCCATGTACATCTAAACGGTAACGAGCAATATTCACATGAAAACCCCACCCGCCTACAGAGGTTAGGTTCTTAGCTCGGCTATTTTATTTCTTACGATAGAGTTCCTACGTACTATTTTTGTTTAATTAAGGTGTTTGTCTTGCCGCGTACTCGCAGTGGCCACAAGAGGGAATGATCAGTATTCGAATGTAGTTAAGATGTTTATTGGCTCATTAAACTTAGTGTAAGGCAGTTACAAGCAATACTTTGCCCGCTACGGGCGTCAAAGAGAACGCATTTCATTTTTTTTTTATAAAAAAGTTAATTTATTAAGGCGATTCCCAACGGATACGCCGCAGTAGGAGACACGGGCCCATGTTTATGACGTATTCCGAGTCACTTGCCGTTGGATTTGTTTTAGTTTGACAAGATGTGAGGGTAGTTTGATTTTCAAGTGACTTGAAACAATACTAGTAGAGGTGTCGACGTCTATCCGAGAGCTCGCGTCGTTGCGTGTCCCCTTAACTTTTAAATATTAAGGCGAAGATCTCAAATAATTTAGTTGCGATAAAAGAAAACTAATTTTTTTTCTTATATTTTGTCTTTGATATTTTGTAACTTAGTGGTAGTTATAGTGCACGTTTGTTTCGCAATACCCTAACTTGATATTATTTATGATGACTCGACTGTATTTTATGAATCTCATACGCAGCTGTATTTTTATGGTAAAACGATATAGGAATTAATATATACCTCTCTATATATATACTATCGCGGTAAGAATGACGCTGTGTGACTGCGCTGTCTCTCAATTATTATTATTACAAATAAAAATTTATATCTACCCTCAAATTTAAAACATTGGATATTATAAATTAGACAATTCTATTGGATTACTCTCATCCCGCACCCAAGTACGGGATTGTAGATATAAAAAAATATATATATCTTAATTAGGCTAAAAATTTAAACTCATATAATTAAAAAGAAATGGTAGAATCTGTCAGTATTATTGTTAACGGTGCCATTTCGTTAGGAACATACGTTTGTGCCAAATTACGCTCAGTTTTGTGTTTAGAATCTCGTTTTTAATTAAGTATTCAAGCTTATTATGTGTGGAATGACAACTACTGTCATCTGTCAATGTCAGGGAATGTCACTTGTCATTTTTATGCTGGTGTGTGACGTCATATGCCAGTGTTTGCCCGCGGTCCCGCGAAGCGTTACGTCACACGGCGTCGGCCGCTCTGCTCACGACTCACATACATATCGGACGAGCGGAAAGCAATCTCATTCTACAATAGTATTATAAATTGACATACGTAGATATAGTACTTGCGTGATCCTAGTATATTTTGGACCCTTAAAATAGCAGCTATGATAAAACAAAACGCAATATCTGAGTACTTAAAAGAAATATCCAAAAAAGCAATATTTATTACCAACTTTTGGATCATAACAGCCAAAATGCACGAGGATCACGAAGTAAATTAGTTTACATATAAATTAATTTAGTTTAGCGTGTATGAGTGTGCGAACTAACACCTTTGTACCGTGACAATAAGCTAAGTATATAAGCCGCCGTAGATTGTCATGGCCGCGCGACCTCGCCTGCTGTCCGTCTATATTTACATTACATTAGAAATAAAATCCTTTGATTTTGACCTTTACTGGGTTGGGCCCACGTTGGGCGCCAATTTGTTGGATGTTGTCTCAGAACGTTATCAAAACTTGATAGACCAATTTGAGTTGTTTTCTGGTCTTTTTAACTGTGATAGAAGAACAAAAATGATGTCAGAGCTATGTGAAATGTCTTTAGTCATTGGTAAAATGTACTCAAAGAGTTCTTCAAAAGAAAGAGTAAGAAGTACTCCCTTCCCTCTTGTTCTAAGACAATATCTAACAAATGTCCTCAGGAAGCATTTACGTCCTTATTAGAAAGTACTTAATTTATCAAACGTAGCTTTAGATTCAAAAGCAATACAATATGTGATTAGTGTGTGTAAAAGACAAAGATGGTTGTGTTCGTGCAATTCCTAGGTTTAAGCGGTGATCTGGACTTAGTCCTAAGACCAGCAGTATTAAAAACCGACACGTGATTATTTGAAAAACTTGTACAACTCCGTCGTCAAGCGGTATCTATGAAGTTTTCTTGAAAATTTTAGCTCAAACATTTCCCTATCGTAACGTTATCTTGTACTTAACATATTTAATCAATAAAATACATTTAATCTCAAGTTCTTAATATTTGGGATAAACCCAAAAATATCACAATAAAAAAAAACGGAGAATTTCGTGTAACGTCTATTACTAAAGTACTTAAAATTCCCTATACATATTTATATTAGCGTATATTTTGGACGGAGGCGAGGCCGCGCGGCAGGCGTAGTGCAGTATGCATGGTAGCTTGGTCGGCTATATTCCTTACCAGCCGACGCACTTGTAACCGAAGCGTGTGGAAATTTTAAGATAAGAAACTCGGAAGAAAATGAGGGTAGTTCGAAATGTAGCGGTCCCTGCTGGGCGCCAATAGCCATTATGATGACTGCACTCTTCATACAGGCTAAACTTGTTCTATTTATTGTTGTTGCTCGAAAACTGTGGTGAATGATGTCATATTATGTATCTGTTATTTATTTTACTTGTGTGTTAGCATTACAATGTCTATCTAGATAGTTTCCACACGCCACGGCTACCGAATGCTATGATATTCACATTATGTATACACATACCTATCCTTATTATCTAGCAGTATTTCTAGCATAAGTAGGATTAGAAACCTCCTGAGATTAATCGGCATGGCACGCGCTCTCTCTTCTCTATACTATAACCAGATTGTGGCGGCTAGAACCGCTTGTTACATGTGGACACCATTTTTATTGTGAATAAACTGTGAGTAACCACTAACATGGTCAGGAATTGATTTTGATACTTGTGATGATTGTTTAATGCTAGTTCGAAAGCGCGTGCCTGCGTCACCCGACAGATACACCTCTTGTACATTAGCGGTCAGTAGAAGAATGGTTGAAGTTGTGATGTGACAGCCGCGTGCTTCGTATCTTGCCAAATTAGATAGAGGGCGGCCGGTGTGGGGACGCGGAGGAGCGACCAACGGGATGTAACTGAATGTACATTGTAGTTGCCACTAAACCGCATGCGCAGACATCATCCTCTACCATCTCTCAGCCTCTACACGTTGCGTCCACATCCCCCGCGCCCTCACACGAACGTTGTAATGTACTTAACTTTGTTTTTCATATATTGTACTGTTCCGACTTCCCTTACGGGTGGCGATTCCAGCACCCTGTCTTAGTTAGACCTGGTAACTGGTCGCCGACGTCCGTCGCCCGGGCCGAGCGCCGCGCCTCTACCGGAGGCCGTCGCTCGGCCGCCACGGACCTCGGCTGTAGGTTAGTCGTAGCGTTAGAAGGAGTTTGCCCGCTGTAAGATGGAGCACTTAGTAAACCTGATGTGTCATTACATGGATATAATATTAGAAATTAAAATTGTGTGTTTTATTTAGCGTGGGACTTCCTGCTGGGTTTGGTTTGTTGTATTTTACACTACTTTTTTTTATCTTTCTAGATAGTTTGCACGTTGAACTTGTAGTATTTAGTTATGGGGTTGCCATCTACACTTTGGCTTTAAAACTGTGATTAATTACATTTTAATGTTAGGGCGATCCCGACAGGCACTCGATGGAAATTGTAAGCTATCTACTAATAAAGTTGGCAACCCTAGCGTGCGAATATCGCGAGAGGCCTCGGTCGGTATAGGAGGGTGGGACTCCGGACTGGAATGGTAAGTGAGTGGCGCGAGTCGCGACCAGCATGCGTGTACCCAGTAGACTCGCCACTAACGCAACACTAGTCGGACGGCATGAATGAACATGTAATCTTCCATACAATATATACTTCACTGTCAATTTATTAAGGCGTTTGCCACACATTGGTTGTGATGCGTGCTATTAAAATATTCCTTTTAAAGCGGAACTTTAAAAGGAATATTGTATACGTAGACACGTAGTTTAGACCTTTAGACGCTTCGCTTCGGGCCCACAGGTCTTCCTGGTACGACAATTGTTTTGCCAAACGAAACGGCCAAACTTTAGCCAAAACATTAATTTGCTCAACGTTGCGAGGTCGCAGTCGCGCAGTCTGTTGAGCGCGGAGACAAGGAACGGGATATAAATATTTTGCCAAAATAATCAAAACGGAAATACGCCAGAGTAGCTTAAGAACGTGACAATAATAAGACGGGACGTTGCCTACTAGGACGCTGTTACTCTTTATCACTTGGTTGCCATATACGTGAATACATTCCTCTCTAGTCATTTTTTTATTTATTTTTTCTTAAAATTTGGCGGGAAACTGATATACAGAGTCTTATCTTGCTCAATACTTATTCTTGCCTAGTTGTAGTTAATTTCTATCGGTAATAAGCTTGACGCAGTAGTGATGTGCCATACACCAGATACGCCATAGCACGCAGACGATAAACTAGTGATGTGCTTGTTCGCTCCAGGCTCACTGGACCAAATGTAAACAGCATTGGAAAAAATATATTATATATTCTTAATTATGTAAGATTACTAAGATATACATAAATATACAATTTTTGGATTGGTATAATGTTAAATTGAAGATAAAAATACTATGTTGTGTGTTTTTAATGTATGGCAATGCTAGAGTAGTGTGTAGCGTAGACATTTTGAAGTTTTACATACATATGATAAATATGACTAACCGAAAGCAATAACATTTAATATTACTACAGCACGCGCGCGCTGCGGCTTGCACGAGGACTCTAGTGGACTAACGATAAGTTGGTACGTGTGTCGGTTGATGTTGCTATACTAAAAAACAAAATTAATACTAACATTCTTAAATTAACTAAAAATACAAGGTTATCTTCCAAAAAGAATCTATAAAAATGCATTTTATACACGAAAAATCTCTTAAAGAGTGCTGAAATACATGAATACGACACACAGTAAAATAAATATTAAGGAATTAAGTATAATGCACTTGGCTAAGTAACGACTGGGCACGGCAGCGCGCGCAACATTAGAATTATTATAATTATACACACATGCATACAAATACAAATATTTTTGTATAATTAGGTATCTGTGTAAACGTAGTGTTGGTTAATCTTGTACTTTTAAATGGTAAGCGGCGAATGACGGGTCGCTTGTGTTTATTGGAAGCCTTCACTGTTATAATACTGTTGCCGTGGTCTTGAATTCGTAGCTTCAAAATAGTCTTAAATCAAGAGAGGCAAGGTCTAATAAATAATGTAATAAATTCAGATTTCAATTCATTAGTCAATTTGTAACATGTATCCTAACTTTTACTCCATCAAAGAAATATTTTTGAGCGACCATGTCCAGTCTAGCTTTCATGGCAGTTCTTTACGGAAGCTGCAAAAATAAAGTACATAACACTTTTCCATCAATTTAAAATGGATCCTAAGATTAAGCTCATCAATAGTTTTCTTTTTAAATTTAGCAAAGTTACCTCGATTGGTTCAAACCATTTCCTGTTACATCGATATCCAATTAGGTACTGAAAGTTTAACATAAAAACGTCTACGGAAAATTACGGTAGCCAAGATTGCCTCCTAATTGGAATTTTCTAATTAAATCCCAATGAAAACACCTTATCGTATTTTATGTAATTTTGACCTACTTGCTGTGTCTATTTATTAAATAAAAGGAGTTGTTTTGCTAATGAAATTAAAAGGATTTACGAGTATGAGTTTAAAACGTATATTTTGTGAAACGGACGCCTTACATGCTTCCTCCATATTTCTTTTTGTGTTGAAAATCACATTCATATAATTTAGCTGGCAAATGGATCTTATCCCATCAACGAATGAAGACCACTTTAAGAGTATTGCAACAGTGACGTCATCCGACACTGGCGACGCGTTACTGTCGTCGAAAATTGATATTATTACATTGTTGAATAAGCGACAGTATGTGACGCAATGTTTATTGTGTAGGGCGCTCGCGCCGACGCTTGAGCGCGTGCGGCCATGTCTCTTTATAATGTCAAAGTTTTTTTTTAATCGCGTCGTGGCATGCTGTCTTTTAGCTATGCGGCTTTAGAATTTCAATTTTTATTAACGTTATTTTTTTCATTATGAATTCGTGTGGTACGTACATTCATCACACGATTTGTAATTTTATTCGGTGTCGTCGGAGAGACTGTGTTTTAGTTTTGATTTTGAAAAATCTTTCAAAATTCTGTGATAAATGCCGGACAGAGTCTGGCTGTGTACTTAGAAGTATTGTTATTTATTTTCATTTTTGTAATGAAGTAGCGCAACATGCCACGACGTGACAGTTAAATTGTTCAGAAACTTGGTGGCACTATGGTTTTGCGTCCAAACTCCGCGTAGTCATGTCTACATTCCTTTATGTATATTTTAACGAATTACTGCATTTTATTTATGGTAGTTATAAAAATTATAGTTTATCATAGACAATTTAGTGATGGGCTGTTTTTTTATTTACGTATCCACCGGCTATAATAGAGGTTTCCTTGTTTTTGTTACTAGAGGGCGCTAGTGTGACTTTAAGTTTTCATAATTAGTTGTGTAAATGTAAAATACAGATTGAAATAAAAATATTATGTACTTTGACAAAGTTGTAAATGTGTTTGGCCTAATTTTTCTATTTAGGATAAACGAAAGAGCAATAAGTAAGTTTGATGTTCCACTGTTAGCTTGCGGTCACGTAGCGCCATCTAGTAGCCACACTATGGAAGTACTCAGTTTGTGCAATTGAACAGACTTATTATATTATGTATATGTTGCGGTACCCCGGTACCCCGTAGTTACGGTTGGGTTTGGGTATGTAGCTGCGTAGATACCTTCGACTACGTCAGCCTACGGTCCCCAAGCATAGTGTGGTGTAATGTCTATGCGCAGGGAGTACGCTTTGCCGCAAGGAGTATTATTAATGAATGTTTTGTATAATTAATGTAGAATATTATTTTAAAAGGTTACTAGGCAATAGTCGGGCTCTCTAGCGCCCCCTAGCTAGTGGACGCAGTAGTGCGCCGGCCGCGCGCCTCCCTCAGCCATTAACAATATTATGGTTCATCTTCACTTAGAGACAAGTATTAGAAAAAATAATAAAATGGTAACACAACACAGCTGTTCTTTCATTTATCCGCTTCTTCGTTAGTTTTCGTACCTCTTCGTTAGTTAAAACATTAGTTTGGAGAAGAATATTTTTTTATTGAGACTCGTAGTTCTAGAGCTTTCAGCCCCACGTTGGGCGCCAGTAAGAATTTTCTTAGTCGATCGACCCCGACTTTGTAGTGTTAGTAATGTTTGGAGATCAAACACTATGGTTGGACATAGATGCATGACGTCATAAGGAGCTGTGTAGCGGTGGAGTGTGCATGCCTCGGTGTCGACGAGCTGAGCCGCCTCGGGACCGAAGACGAAGACTTTCATTTTATACGGTGAGGCAATACTGAAGCTGATACGTAGCTATATCTAATGTCTTGTCATTATAAACATCACATACTAACATATCACTACAACTGGATAACAAAAAAAGTTTGTTTTCTCAGCATAAAGACGGTGACAAGACATTAGATGATAGTACAGTGAATAAATAATGAGGGCATGGTTTTAAAAATGTAGAATGGAGAAACAGATGGTTGCTTACCTATTTTACACACATTTGATTTGGAAAAACTACAAAAAATATCAGTTAGAAATTTGAAAATTGTATTTTATAAAGTGAAAATGCGGATGTGTCCGTCGATAATTAAGATACCTTGTAACTTGACATTTACTTTTTTAATTCACGCATTCCATTAATAACTGTATCATTCGCCCGCTGACCTAAAAAGTGTAGCGATGTAACATGAATAAATTGAAAACAGAAGCCTGACAGACGAGTTCATTCATAGATATCCTATCATATATCTGTACTACTCGCTAACAATATGGCGCCAACTTAACACGTAACATTAGCAGCTCACTCAAACATACTTATATAGCATTTATGAGGTCAGACCATGGACGATTTGTTGCAAGTCTACGTATTCCGAATATAATAAATCTGCCTCGCTAGAACAATAACTTAAAATAATTTCAATGGGGTTGACATACATACGACTGGTTTATCGAATGTCAATGTCAAGAAGCAGCGGAATTGTCAAAATAAGTAAGGCACAGGTAATCCTGCAAACAACCAACTGTTTCGCCATAAATAAAGAAGAAAGATCAGTATTGTCATTCACATTACCAAATCTGCTGTTGAAATTATCGCTTAGTTTTTATTGCTAGTTACCCATCTCCAGTAAAGTGCATCCCAGTAATTAGTTAAGTAGTATATAGACGTGGTACTATCGGTGCTGGGTTTCAAGTCAAATTCGTAGTTTAGTTGAATGGTCGATCCGATTAGTTGGACATACAAGAATAATAATTGTGATGTATAAACTCCATGGGAGACGCTTTTAACATTTTTTTCAATTTTAAATAAGTAGTAATAGAGTTTTTTCGTAGTTTTAGATGGAGGAATCATATCAACAGAAAGACACAATCGTATTGTGCCTTAATTGTTTGTTTTGTTACGATTTTGCTTTGGAAACTAGAATCTT